CTCTCCTGCTCGCTCGGACCCCTGTGGAAGGGAGGGAAGGCTGATGGGATTAGAGGAAACAGCTGGCTCGAGTCTTACCCTGCGGGAGCTCGCATTCTCGGGGCCGGGGAGGAGAGGAGTGCCCCGCTGCCGAGTCGCATTCCAGGTCATTTGCTGAGCCCAGATGTTTTCTAATGAGCTCTATGATAAATCCTTTTCCTTTACTACCAAGCACGGTCCCTGCCAGCCAGGTCCATCCCTAAAACTCTCTTTCTACAGCCAGGCCAGGCAAGTTGGACTTTGCAGTTCAAGTCCGTAAGCCAAATTACCTCTAGGACTCGTGCCTTTCTGCTTTGCCTGCTCAAAGGGATTGAGCACAGAGCTCAAATCTATTATCCTATAGCTGTGGCCTGATGGAGGTTGTTGGTCCAAATTCCTCCCCTCTGGCCTCCCCTTACCTCTGTGTTATTAAGCTGAGGGTGGGTTGACCTGGTGGTCAGAACGAGCAGTGAAGTGCTGTTCTACCCCTGTGCTTAAAAATCTTAAAAATGGTATTTGTAAGGAGTAAGAGCATTCTGGAAATGCACAGATGTGAGTCGCACGCTGGCAGTGATGGGAGGATGTGCTCCTCATGTCCTACCTGCCACCAATGTCCCCTCCCTTCACCCACCCGAGATGGTGACGGGAAATCACCCCCCAGCTTTTTTACTAGTTAAAAAAGACTGTTTGCCTCCATCTCCTGGCATGAGCACTGCTGCCTTCACCTCAGGCATGTGTGCCCTTACACACAGCCATTTGAGGTCCTAAGCTGGTGTCTTAGAGATGTCTTGGGGCTTATTTAGGATCCAAGAAGTGGGAGTTCAACTCTAGCAGGTGATGGTCTGGTGAGAGACAGGAGCTGATAAAGAGCCATCTTTATTCCAGGGAGCCACAATATAATTTTGTCCCTTTAGCAAACAAGATGTGGAAAGGTGCAGGGAATGGACTGGTGTGAGATGGGGCAGGATAGTCCATGGCACCTGGCATAAGCACTGCTGCCTTCACCTCAGGCATGTGTGCCCTTACACACAGCCATTTGAGGTCCTAAGCTGGTGTCTTAGAGATGTCTTGGGGCTTATTTAGGATCCAAGAAGTGGGAGTTCAACTCTAGCAGGTGATGGTCTGGTGAGAGACAGGAGCTGATAAAGAGCCATCTTTATTCCAGGGAACCACAATACAATTTTGTCCCTTTAGCAAATAAGATGTGGAAAGGTGCAGTGAATGGACTGGTGTGAGATGGGGCAGGGTAGTCCATGGCAGACCCAGACCTCACTCTCCCAAGTCCCTTATGGGTCATTCTGGGGGGTTTAACGATTCTTCAGACCCTGTGCAGTATGTCTTGGGAATGGTGAACAAAACACAAGTCGTTGGGGGAGAGAGGGAGCCTGGGCCCAGCTGTGGGGGTGTCTGAAGGGCAGTTCCCCCCTCTTTGCTCCCTGCAGCCCTTCGTGGATACACACATCCTCCCTCCCTCTCTCTTTTCCCAGCTGCCTTCCCCCGCATGTGTTTTCTAGCATCCAGCTACGGGCAGGGAGCCTTGGAATCTGCGTTAAGACACAAATAAAAGGAATAGCTTTATTTTTAACTTACAAATACACCCTTTTAATTCTCACGCCCACAGTTCCTAGTCCTGTCCTGACAAGCGGGGAGCCCCTGGCACTGTGGGCGTTTGTCAGCAGGCCCAAAAACAGCAACAACGGGCGAGGGAGGGAAGCTCCTGGAGACCAGAGAGCGGGTTTCTGCTGCGTCTCGCTGCACAAAAGCCTTGGCCATCCAGCAGCAGGGGAAAGGACGGAGGGGGAAGACATAGGTGGGGTGTGTGGACGTTTTGGGCAAGGCTGTGTGCACCTGTGTTTTCATCTGCTGTCTGTCTGGGGTGGAAAACAGCAGGCTGATGAAATGGGCTGTCGTCGGGGATAGAGCGGAGAGTTGTGCCGTACGACGTGTGGTACCGCAGCGGCGTGGTTTGGCACGGGTGTCCTAGGAGCAGGCAGCAAGCTTCTCACAGCCCGTGGGGAGCAGGAGGTGGTAAACGAGGGGGTGATGTGGAGCAAGAGTCTAAAAATGCTACTGAAGCCAGAGATCCTGGCTCGAGGTGAGGGACCTGACCCTGAGAATGGCTCCTTTCCTCCTGGTGTTGCCTCCTTGCTCTCCCTCCCGTCGGCTCCCGGCTGCGGAGCGGCTGCCTCTGAATTTACTGAATTTCACTGAATTTTTTAGAGTTGGAAGGGACCATAGAGATCATCCAGTCCAACTCCCCTGCCAAAGCAGGACCACCCAGAGCTTGTCAGAGCATGTTACTCAGGAGCATCCAGGCGGATCTTGAAAATCTCCAAGGAAGGGGACTCCACACCCTCCCTGGGCAGCCTGTTCCAGGGCTCTGCCACCCTCACTGTGAAAAAGTTCTTCCTCATATTCAAGTGGAACCCTTTATGTTCCAACTTGTGCCCGTTGCCCCTCGTCCTCTCACTGGGAACCACTGAAAAGAGTCTGGCTCCCTCCTCCCTCAGCCCGCCCTTGAGATACTTGTCAGCATTGATAAGGTCTCCCCTCAGCCTTCTCTTCTCCAGACTAAAGAGTCCCAGCTCTTTCAGCCTCTCCTCATAA